GGCCGCCGCTGCGGGTTGCGCTTTGCGGGAGGAGGGGCGCGGAGGTGTAGCCGTGGGGCCCCGCCCGTGCCCCGCCGGCTTCGTCCCCGCGGCCCTGTCCTCTCTTGAGACTGGGTCATGGTGAGTTGTATGCTGCTTGAATCAGTTATAATGTATTTAACTGTTAATCTCTACAATGCTCCTCATTAAGAGCCAGTGAATAAATTTGGTAGGCAGTGAACTTTCTTCATTTATATGCCCTGTTATTTTAGGGTGTATTGGGATACATATTTGAGTTTTGAGACAGCAAAAGACTTCAAAACGGTAAACTGTAACTACCGCTGATCAAGTGTGGCGTAGTGTTTGCCAGTGAGCAAGGAAAACCAAAAATAAGTTCTTCCAGGTCTACTATTACTGAAAAATATGTGGAAGCTTTAAATGTTGCTTACTGGGTTGGAATACTGGGATATAATTTTTTCTCTTAAATTTTTCATTGTTTCTAGGTCATCCATAGTATTTATTCAGAACAATGCAAGCATGGTTATTAATTCAAGTGTTGGAGTAGAAAACACCTGTTGTAATTCAATGCTTCAAATAAGTACTGTTTCTGTCATGACTCTGAACTAATTATCATACATGTTTAGTCTTAACAGGGGTTTTACTGAAATGCACTGTATGAGTGGCCACTCAAATTTTGTATCTTGTGTGTGCATCATACCTCCAAGTGACCTCTATCCTCGTGGGCTGATTGCAACTGGTGGCAATGATCATAATATTTGCATTTTCACAGTTGACAACACGGCTCCCCTTTATGTCCTTAAGGGTCATAAGAACACAGGTATGTAGTCATTTTATTTTGGAGTTTGTTGCATAAAAGTTAACGTCATTTGTTAGGGAGGAAACTAAGGTGAAGTTATAAAACTCAATTTTGACTACTTCGGTATTTAATGTAGCAAACTATTTACTTATGGCCTCTACAAATAGGATTTTATAATCTTGGTTTGTGCAGGGACTGTTCATTGCAAGGACTTTGTTGTGGTTTAACTCCAGCTGGCAACCAAGTCCCACACAGCTGGTTGCTCTCTCCCCACAGTGGGATGGGGAGAGAATTGGAAGGTACAAGTGAGAAAACTCGTGGGTTGAGATAAAGACAGTTAAATAGGTAAAGTAAAACAAGGAATTCATTTACCACTTCCTATCAGCAGGCAGGTGTTCAGCCATTTGCAGGAAAACAGGGCTCCATCAAGCATAACGGTTACCTGGGGAGACAAATGCCATCACTCCGAACAGCCCCTCTTCCTCCTCTTTCCCCCAGCTTTATATATACCAAGCATGATGTCATATGGTGTGGAATATGGTCAGTTGGGGGCAGCTGTTCCAGCTGTGTCCGCTGCCAACTTCTTGTGCACCCCCAGCCTGCTTGCTGGTGGGGTGGTGTGAGAAACAGAAAAGACCTTGGCTCTAAGAACTGTTCAGCCATAACAAAAATGTTCCTGTGTTATCAACACTGTTTTCAGCAAAAATCCAAAACATAGCCCTGTACGAGCTACTATGAAGAAAATTATCCCAACCAAAACCAGCACAGACTTCCAAGTTTACACTGATGAATGCTTGAGCTTTTACTCTATATGTGAGCATACAGCAATTTACAGAATGATGACTCTTTTGCCAAGAGTTGCATTTTTAAGAAGCAGTTAATTTAGTTCTCAATGTGTCAGGCTTAATTTTTATGTCAAAGTTGATAGAAGTAGAGAAAGTCAGCTTCCTAAATAAACAAACTTTCACTGCCAATTTTGCAACCTAGATGGGGATCTAATATTAAATGGAGCTTTAAATACATTGTAAAGACTAAAATCTCACTGCAGAAATTCCATCTCTCTTGACTCAGGTCAGTGCAACATGTGACAAACCAACTTTGTATTTTTTCTTAAGATATATAATAAGAGTCACCAACTTTCATATTAATATACTAAGTTTTTCTTTTTGTGATTGGATGTAGTATTTAATAGATCTTTGAACAGTCTAATCATGTAATTGTAGGATGTCAAAAATAAACATTTCAAGCCTTGGAGATTTTGGGACTTTTTTAACTGTGTTTAAGAATGGTTGTGGAGAGCAGTTTGAAAATATCCTGGACTGCTAAACAGCGCCTAAAATTTATTTTTGTGTTATAAACCTCTTGGCTTTCTCTGAGAATGAAAGAAAATGCCGATGTGTAAGGAGGCATGGAATAGCATATGTACTTTACGAGAAACCTAGGATGGATGTAGTTAAAGTAACATGTGACATGCTCCCTCCAGAGGTGTTAAAAAGGGATGAGGTGTTCTAGACAAGTTATAGATTCCCCTACAAAAAAGGTATTTGTAGAAATTTTTGCAGTAATGTAAAACATTAAAAGAAGTAAAATCAAATTAATTGTAAAATCTGTTTTAAAGAAGAAAGAGTAGGACATGACAAGTGATAGGGCTAGAATACTGTCCAGTTCTCACTGTGGAGTCAGAAGCAAGAAATGTGAAGCCATACTTTCCTTTCATGAACTATTAGATGGACAGTTTATGACTTCACTCTTTTTGTAAACTTATTAGTAAACCTTACTAGCACTGTGTGTCTTCAGTTTTATACCTGTGTATTATGGGAGCATTTTCAGATTATCTTCTTGCTAAAACTTTAAATGTCACCACAATTCCGTGATAGTAGTTTGCCTTCCAAGAAGGTGAGCTAAACATTTTTTACACAAATCTTGCTTCTTGAGGACATAAATTAATAAACATTGATGAAATCTTGGCTTTCTTTGTAACCTTGAAACTAAACCTTTTGCATTAATTCTGTGTCTTGACTAGTTATCTAACATGCTTGTCAACATATTCTGGTCTGAGGAGAAGAGATCTAGGACTAAAAGAAATTTTAAAATGTGAATAGCAAAAAGATGTGAAATTTTGTAATCTAAAGCGAAGAGAATTTCAAGCAGCTCCTTTCTAGGTTGCAGTGCAACTACAGTTCCACTTAGTTCTTCCTCAAACTCCTCAACACTGAATATGCTACTAATACCAAGTAAATCTCCTTGAACAAATCTTGATTGGTGACAATGTAGGAAACTTGTCAGTGCTGATTTGAACGTTCATTCCAGTTTGCAGCCTTTCATCTGGGAAATTCGGCACATTATTAAGTGGATCATGGGATACAACAGCCAAGGTCTGGCTGAATGACAGATGTATGATGACATTACAGGTATGAAGTTCCTCCACATGAATACAAAATATGCACTCTGAATTTGATTGTGACAAGTCTAACAATGTTGGTTTTTGCAGGGTCACACAGCTGCAATATGGGCAGTGAAAATTCTGCCTGAACAGGGATTAATGTTGACTGGCTCAGCTGACAAAACTATTAAACTGTGGAAAGCAGGCAGATGTGGAAGAACATTCACTGGTAAATGTTGCTGCAGTTTAATTTTTTTTCTGTGTTAAAAGAGCACATGACCCTGATGAAATCAAAACCTCACAAAACCATAGATAAATTGAACAATTCTTGGGCAGGTTTTTTAAAGACTCTGAAGTTGTTTGCCCAGAAATCATGTCACTTTTAAAAGAATTAGAGGGGTTTTTTTTAGACAACAATGAGCAATGAATTGATTTTTTGTTTTGGTTTTTTTTAGACTGCTCCCGTAATGAATATTGGTTTCTAGGATGTAGATGTAAGCTAAATAGAAATGGTATACTGCTGCTAATGGAAAGAAAAGGTGCATTAAAAATTTTCCTTTGTTTTATAAAGGACATGAAGACTGTGTGAGAGGTCTAGCTATTCTGAATGAAATGGAATTCCTTTCTTGTGCTAATGATGCTAGTGTTCGAAGATGGCAGATCTCTGGCGAGTGTCTGCAGGTGTATTATGGACATACAAATTACATATACAGCATCTCTGTCTTCCCTCAATGTAAAGGTAGGATTATTTTTGTGACTATTACCCAACATGCTTTCAAAACGAAATGGCAAGGTAAGCACTCTGTAGTTCTGTGGACCTACCACTACTAAAGAACTCAGGTAGCATTTAACCTACTTCTTTCCTTTAGTGTAAATAATTAAAAAAAAAAATACTGTGATTGACTCCAAATCACACCTCCAGAGAATTGCTCTGGCAGTAGGTGAGATGAAAGGTCCTGGGTTAGGCCTAATTGGCAAACTGATTGGCAAAACTCATCTAGGTTGCCACCTGTATTTCAGCACTGTTGCAGAGTACTAAAATGGTAATGTGTGGCTGAGCAGTTTGAGATAATGTAAATTTAGATAATTCCATAGAAAGTTTTCAAAGTACATTATAAATAGTTTAGGTTAAGAATTTTGTGTTGGGCTTAATTGCATTTGTTTTCAGAGTTAGAGGTTTAGAGGTTCAGAACTAACTGTTGCAGACAGTTGCAGAAGAAATTCCAAGTCAGTGACCTTTGTGTGGTGTCTGGGACGCTTGCGCATTTGTTCCACAGGTAAAGTGCATGTATATTAGTGGATGTGTATGTTGTAAATCTCTTATTGCCGTAAAATTCCTCATTGAGGTGTTTATAGACTTTTGACAGTGCTTTATGCATGTTTCCTGAAAAAGCAGTTCTACCTTGCAAAAATCTGAATTTAAAACTAACACTATGCAATAGAGTGTAAGATGAAACAGTGATGGTTACAAAATTATTCAAAGTTCTTTGTTTAAACTCTTGAAAGGAGGAAGGAATCTTTTGTTTGTCTTGAGCATAATTTCATTCCCTGTCTGGCTGCTTAGGCCAAAATTTATGCACTTTTTTTTTAAGACGACAGCTATGTGGTGGCTTTCTTTTATCTCTCTTCTTGCAATTGAGAGATGTATTAAATTGTAGAAAGGTTCTTTTACTGGTCTAATTTGTAGACACCCAGTTGCAGAATGGCATCTAATATCACAGTACACTAAAAATACGTTTTTAAACATTTTTTTTATATTTTTTCTTTTCAGATTTTGTAACTACTGGAGAGGATAGATCTCTTAGAATCTGGAAACAAGGGGAATGTGCTCAGACAATCAGACTCCCAGCTCAGTCTGTATGGTGCTGCTGTGTGTTAGACAATGGTGACATCGTAGTTGGTGCAAGGTACGCAGGTTTTACTCTCAGTGTGCTTTTAGATCTAAATCCAAAAATGTTGATGAAATTGCAAGTATCACTTTGGATATCAGTTTCATCTATATTTAAAAATACAGCCATCAAAGTATGTGTGGATTACATTTAAACATGTGCTATACTTCATGCAAAAAGTCATTCTTTTATGCGAATCACAGAGGTAGAGTGAGATTTTTGGGAATGTCGTGAACTATGAATACTATGGACTTGCAAGTACTGTGTAAAGAACCCTTTTGATAGGCATATACTACCTTGATTTTAAAGTTATACTACAGATAAGGTTACCTACTCTGGGTTTTTTTAGTATGAGAGCAAATCCCTTTCATAAAAATAATGATGGTTTCTCATGACATAGAAGTCACCATTAGAATGTATGTAATCATTTTGATATTTAAGATAATATTTCTGTTTGGACGTTTTCTCCCCTTTCAGTGATGGAATTATAAGAGTGTTTACAGAGTCTTTGGAACGTACAGCAAGTGCTGAGGAGATTCAAGCTTTTGAAAATGAGCTTTCCCAAGCATCCATTGACCCTAAAACTGGTGATTTAGGAGATATTAATGCTGATGACCTTCCTGGAAGAGAACATCTTAAGGATCCTGGTAAGTTACTGTACTTTTCTCATGTTAGAGATGCCTCCAAATCTTGGTTCTGAACTACTGAAACTTTCAGTAGTTTCCAAAACTAAGGCTTTGATCACTTTATTAATAGAGTTGCTGAAGAAAACAGCTTAATTTTGCTCTACTATCCTTTCATTAATTGGGTTGGTGGGAAGATTAGTTTAAATATTTTTTTTGTAGACTAAAATGGTAAAAAATATTTCTCTTATGAGATAATTTAGAAAAAAGGTAGAATGCTGCAGTATGTTTGAGATGTTTTGGATCTGTTAGGCCAGCTGTGCCAATAGTATATACAACAGTTATGTAATTTGCAAAAGGACATTTGTGGAATTTTTTTCCTAAAAGAAAAGTAGGTGCAAACTTTCTGCTTTAGCTTTCAGCTTGAAAAATACTTTGTCTTGACTGGCTCAGTTAACACTTTCCAGGTACTCAGGAGATTACTGAGAATACAGTGGAAGCAGTGGTAGTTAAGATTACTCTTAAATAGACAAGATACTTTTTCCCAAGGCAAAGTAACCAGTGACCTCAGCCCTTGGCTCTGATCAGCAAGTGGCATAAATCTTACAATCATTTGAAGCTTTCCATCTGGGTAGACCATGGGAGAGTATTACTTTTCTTGATTGTCATCTCCCTGGGAAAATGGTAAACTTTTGAAATACTTAAGGATTGCTTTTGCAACTTAGTCTGATGGCAGATACCATTACTGAAATTGTAAAATGCTGTTGTCAAGATTTCTGCTATTCTTGTGACGTGTAGTATCTAGTTACTTTCTGTGCTGTGACTTTAAATGTTGATGAACTATCTCTTAATCTTTAAATTTGAGCACTATTTGAAGACTTTTTTCTCTCCAAAATAAATCATGTTCTTGAATTTGTTCAAACTCTTAAACACTCCTGTCTACAGGAACAAGAGATGGACAGACACGGCTTATTAAAGATAATGGGAAAGTAGAAGCATATCAGTGGAGTGTTAGTGAAGGAAGATGGATAAAGATCGGTGATGTCGTTGGTTCTTCTGGAGCCACACAACAAACTTCTGGAAAGGTTTTGTTTGAAGGAAAGGTATAAGGAAACTTTAATTGGTTTTATTCCTTCCCAAGCAAAATGCTTAATTTTTCATTAAAAATTCGTTCCAGTCTTTGCTTAAATAAAATATAATTGAGAAAATAGGTATTTGTTGGTACTGTTTTGCCTTCTTTGATCTATTAAAACTCAGAGGTAGAAGTATAGATAAGTACTACTCGCTTTATTACTTTTGAAACACATTTTGATAACAAGCAAGCCAAAGGAGACAAATTATTTTGGAGAAGGATAAACTATAAGTAGAGAAATTATCAAGTTTTGTAGTAGTTATTGCTAATACCGTGAAAAGTTAGCTTTAACTTCCTTTCAAAGGATGTGTACAGTACAGTTTGTAATGCAAGGCTTACCTAAAATATTAGGTACCAGTCCTTCTGTACTCCTTTTCTATAGTAACTTTTGAAACTAAAGACAGGTAAGTTGAAAAATGTTTCCTTTACTGAAATACATACAGAAAAGTCTGTCTAGTGCCACCACAGAAGGAAGGCCTTTGAGATACTAATTTTCCCTCCCAAATGGTTTAAAGAATCCTTAGGAATTTGTTGGTTTTGACTATTAGAAGTCTGCTTTTAAGACTGAAGTTTTTTGAGGCATCTGACTGTCTTGCAGCTTTGCAACTTTGAGAGTTACCTGATGCCTCTGTTTGTTTTGTAACATATCTGCAGACACATTATCATGGTATGTTGTTCGAGCCTGCTCTTCTTGAGACAGAGAATTCTGGAAAACATGGAGTATGGTTTAAGTCTTTTTTACTTGCAGCCTACGTAGGCGAGTATTATTGATACAGTCTGTCAGTAGCAGTATTAAAGTTTTTAGGCTTAGCCCAGGACCTTTATTATATGCATTTGATACATCCTTATGTGAAAAGTGCTGACAAACCTCTAATTTGTTTTTGTTTATTTTGCTTAAAGGAGTATGACTACGTTTTCACTATTGATGTAAATGAAAGTGGGCCTTCCTACAAACTGCCATATAACATCACTGATGATCCTTGGCTGACTGCATACAACTTCCTGCAAAAGAATGATCTAAATCCTATGTTTCTGGATCAGGTGGCCAAGTTTATTATGGATAACACTAAGGGGCAAACACTGTTGAGTACAAGTGCTCAATTTTCAGATCCATTTACAGGTAAAATTTTTAGATTTAAATGATTATGTCAGTTACCCCCAGTTTTGGGTCATCAGCAAACTCGCTGAGGTTGCACCCTGACCCATCTTCCAGATCATTAATGAAGATGTTGAACAGGACTGGATGCAGGACTGACCTCTGGGGTACACCACCAGACTGGCCTCCAACTAGATGTTATGCCACTGATCACCACCCTCTGGGCCTGGCTGTTCAGTCAGTTTTCAGTCCACCTCTCTGTCTGCTCGGGCAGACTTCAGTGTCGTAGCTCCTGCACTTCCTTTACGGGACTCTCATGTCCTCAAATGATTGAGGGCAAGGCTCAGATAGATCTGACAAGAAAAATATGAAAACTTGACAAATTTCTGAAGTATTTGTCAGAACAAATCTTCAACAAAATTTTCATCAGGCCATTTGTATATTTCAGTGTAGTCTTTTTTTTCCAGTGGGAAAAAAATTCACTTTTCATATTAAGCTAAGAGATGGCCATGTGCTGTTAAGGCAATTAATAAAATACAAAAATGTAGCTAGAGAATGAACTGAAGCTGAGTGAAATACATAACTCTTTTTCAGGCAGGAAAAAGAACTTATAAGCTCAACCATGTTAATCATATCCTGCTTATCACATTTACAAAATAAAACACTCATTTCAACTAGTTTCACAAAGGTGAAGTTAGGAATAAAATGTCAATAAAATAATTGAGCCAGATCTTTTCCTTGCAGTGAACTAGAAATGAGAATACACACTAATTGGGTTCAGATATAACTTGAGGAGCTGCAGTCATCTGAACTTATGCACATATTTTGATTTGGCTGTGTCCAAATGTGTAATGCATATGCCCCAGAAAATAAATTTCAGACCCTCAAATAATTAGGAAGAATTTCTTCAGCATCAGCGGACTTTTGGGTGGATAGGATCAGATTTCTTGTAACGCCACAGTAAACAATAAGACATATTTGATGATTGGCTTTATTTTTGAGCTGCTTCTGTCTGAAGAGTATTGACTTTTCAATAACACCAAGCTGTGTGTAGTAGTCATTGCTTTTCTTACTGTTTCACTAGGTGCTGGACGTTACGTTCCAGGTTCTTCATCTGGATCAAGCACAGTACCTGCAGCAGATCCATTTACAGGTAATGTAAAATTCATAATCTGTCTTGCTAGCATTTAAGATGTGTACTTGTCATGTCAGTTGCATTCAGTGTTTGTCTCCAGACCACTGTTTCTTGCAGTTCTCCATTTGGGGCAGTAGTGTGGGACATACTGACAAGGTGGACTCTGCCACTGTCAAAACATGTCCAGGTCTGTTTAGTAGAGGAGAGCCCTCTGCTGCCTGGTCTACCTCATGTCACTCTACAGCAGAGGAGTAAGGTCCTTAAACCTTATATTTTGTCAAATTCTTACATGTATGGACAACACAAGAATGGGTATATTCATAGAACTATTTTTTTTCTTTGTCCTTATTATTTCTTATTACTTGACAATTACTGGTATCTTAACTCTCCCTGGCATAGCTAGTTTAAAGTCCTCCTCACTAGTTTAGTAACGCTGTTTACAAAGACATTCCAGCCTTCCTTTTTCAAACTATCCCCTCCCTGATCAGTAGTTCTCGCCTCTCAAAGATGGTCCTGTAGTCAATAGATGCCAAAGTCCTGCCTGCAAAACCATCCATGCAGTGAATTACTGACCCACTTGATGAGTCTGTTTCTACTCAAGTGTTTTCGGCTTTGCTGGCAGCATCAAAGAAACACCACCTGGGCCCTTCATGTTTGCCCCCAGAGCTCTCTAATCACTCTTGATACTCTCCAGGACTTCCTTGGCAGTATCATTGACGCCTGTGTGGAAGAGTAGCAGGGTAATAGTCTGAAGTACAGGCAAGCCTTGGCAGTCTCTCTGCAGCATCCTGGCCCCCAGCAGACATCAACCTCACAAGATACTGGGTCATGTCAATAGCTGGGTGCCTCCATACCCTGCAGGAGGAAGCCTCCCATCACTGCTGCCTTATGAGGTGCAGTATCAGCTGGCTCTGATGCATCCTCTGAGTGTTTGTTCTCACCAGTGCCAGGGCACTGTGGGTGTTCTGCAGTTGCAGATCTACAGGTGGAGCAGAAGCATTCATGCTGTTGCCAAAAGCCACAGCCTTCATCCTTCCCCATCTTGACAGTCTTTCTCTGTTCCTGTTCTACTGTGGTCTCCAGCTGTTTCTCTTCCCTTGCTTTGTGTGGCTAAGGCTGTGGTCTCCACAGATGCAAAGACCCTGAAGTTTCTTCATCTGAGGCTTCAGTGCCACAGAGCCCATCTTCTACAGGGGAGACCACTGCTGGGCCCAGGCACAGAGAGAGCCCAGGCCTGGGCAGTGGTGCCCTACGCCTGGCGCTTGTCATAGATAAGGTGTCTGCTGTGCTGAGGGCCTTTGCACCAGTGGGTGCCAGAAACCGTGGCAGAATGTCTCCCAACTGTGGGTCACTTAGCTTGCGAATGCCGTCACCGCCAGCCCCACCCTCACACATAGGCATAGATTTAATCCTTAAATTTCAGGAAGTGTTGAAGACTTCTTGTTAATTTCTTTACTGCAAAATAATAGTGATGTTTCAAAACTAGTAAGTAAATACAGGTATACATTACCTCTTTACCAGAGGTGGTGTTTAAAAAGCCTCCTTTTGTTTAAATTGTCTCCTTTCAGGTGCTGGTCGCTATGTTCCTGGTTCAGCATCAAATGCAGTAGCTCCAGTGGGTGGGGTTGATCCATATACAGGTAAGAGATGATGCCTGCTGATGAAAAGCATCCCTGATCTTTTGCTTTGATTCTTTCTTTGACATGGATTCTATATTGATGAAAATTTATACTTAATTAAAAATAATGAGCAGATTGAAGCTGCTTATGCTCTGGAAACTAATCAGAAAAATAGTGATAGCAGAGCCTTCCTTTACACACCTGAATCATTAAAATATGATCATAATCTGTTTTTGAGAAGACTTTTGGTTTCATACTAGTTATGTTGTTGATCAAAGACATTGATGCATGTAGTTAATGGTAATTATACAATATCAGCCACTAATTCACCTGTGATTCTAGGAAATCATTATAGGCCATGATTAAAGCTTTTTATTATTTTTCTAAAGAGATTTCAGGCTGCTATTGCATGTGACATAACTTGGTCATATCTGCAGATCTTCCAATATGTAAAAACTTCGAAAATTATAAAAATAATCAAAAGATAATATTTCAGGGGCAGGAGGGATCTTTGTTCTAAAATGACCCTTGCCATTTTCAAGTCTTAACTGCAATATCCATTCTGATGAATGACTGTGTATTCATGTAATTCAGAAATCACTATTAATGATTTACACTTGTATAGTAAATTTTTACATGGGAGCAGAACAGTTTGTGAAGGTATTGCTTTACGCATGAACCTTTACATGTTAAAATAATATAAGGAATGACAGCTATTTGCATAAGCATTCAATTTTTTTCAAGATATTTTCTAAGTAATGTCCAGCAGGAAAGACTTCTGGTAGGATATTGTTCTATGTCAGTCACTTTGGTACACTGTTGAACTTTTCGTATTTCTTTTATGTAGGAAAGGGTGCCTACCAATCAGCTGCAGCTGAAGGTGAAAATATTTATTTTCCAAAGAAGGATGCTGTCACCTTTGATCAGGCCAACCCTACGCAGATACTGGGTCAGTGCTTTAATTTCAAGGATGGTTTTATTTTTCGTCTGTTTGAAATAACTTCACTTTTGATCTTTTCATAAAGCTAAATGATTTCCCATAACTTTCCTACTGTTTCTTGGTTTTGACCTTTCAAAATTGTATTTGTCACTTTAATGGTGCATGTATTTGAAGGCTCAGGAGTATGAGTAAATTTCATAAGAATTCCATCTAATACGGGATATCCTTTTCTTTCTTCCCCTCGGCTTATATGTGCTGTTGTTTGGCATCTTTTTATCAAGCTGGTACATTTGCATACTGTACTTTTTTCATTTAGCTGCTGGGTATGCAGGTCATGTGCAGTCCCTTTCTGATTTTGCTTATGGAAGTTTAGTTCACCAGACAGCCATGCAATGTAATCTACGAAGCTTTAAGGCATTCTGCCATTTCACAGGTTGCAGTGGTTACTGTTATATTTAAGAAGAACACTCTGCGTAACAGAAAAAGAAAATGGTGTACAATATTTAGTAATGAGTAACATTTTTCGTAAATGTGTATATTGGCTTGTTTTTCCCTTCTCTTTTCCCATGCTTCATTCCTATTTACTATCTCTTCCTCTGTTTTCTGTGACTATTCCACAGAATCTCTACCCTACTTGTCACCAGTTTATTTCACTGGTGAAATTTATATTTATAAATATAAACATATATTTATGTACCTGTAGAGTGCCTTAGTACACTTAAGGGTTTTGTAAAACTAGTTTGTATTCAGAAGGTACCTGCCTTGAAGATCTCCAAATTAAAATTCTCTCACTTCCTTCCCTCCCCTTTATATGCAGAGCTTGAAAATGTTGTTGTTTTCTAGATAGTCTGATGAGAAAACTCCATTTTTAGAAAAAGTAAACTTTTACCTCTACCCCACTTCTTCAAAAGGGAAAGTTCTTGGCCTTACTGTCATGGAATCATAGAATGATTTGGGTTGGAAGGGACTTTTAAAGATGATCTAGTCCAAACCTCCTGCCATGCAGGGACATCTTTCACACCTTGCTGAAAACCCCATCCAGTCTGACCTCAAACACTTCCAGGGACAGGGCATCCACAACCTCTCTGGGCAACCTGTTCCAGTGTCTGTTCAGTTTAAAACTGTTACTCCTTGTCTTGTCACTACAGGCGCTGCTAAAACTGCCTTCATCTTTCTCATAAGCCTCCTTTAAGTACTGGAAGGTCCCCCAGAGTCCGTTCTTCTCCAGGCTCAACAACCCCAACTCTTGCAGCCTATCCTCACAGCAGAGGATCTTCTGTGATCATTTTGGTGTCCTCCTCTGGACCCTCTCCAACAGGTCCATGTCTCTCCTGTGCTGAGGGCTCCAGAGCTGGACGCAGGACTCCAGGTGGGGTCTCACCAGAGTGGAGTAGAGGGGCAGAATCCCCTCCCTCACCCTGCTGGCCCTGCTGCTTTGGATGCAGCCCAGGACAGAGCTGGCCTTCTTGGCTGCAAGTGCATATTGCTGGCTCACATCCAGTTGTTAATCCACCAGTATCCCCAAGTCCTTCTCTTCAGGGCTGCTGTCAATCCATTTACAGCCCAGTGTCTACTAAACTGTGGATTGCCCCAACCCAGGTGCAGGACCCTTGCACTTTGCCTTGTTAAACTTTGTGAGGTTCACATGGGTCCACTTCTCAAGTCTTTAAGGTCTGTCTAGGACCCTCTGGGGTGTTCTGTCTGCAGTATTGCTCTTCTACATATTGTTCAGCCTTCATTTTCTGTTTAAAAATATCAGTCAGTCTTCAGTCAGCCTCATCCTTTTTCTCTGAATTTACTTGTGCTCTCGTATTTGTTCAGGGGGAAGATAAAGGATTCACAAACTAGGGATTTTTTTTTTCTGGAGGCTGTTGCTAATAAATAGATGTAGCCTCCTCTTAGTTTTGCACAGACTTTACAATAAAATTTTGTCTAGAACTTTTTAAGAGGTGGAATGGCAAGAATTGCTGACTTTCATTCTGCTACATTATAGCAAATCATATATGAAGTATATATATGTA